GTACAGTCCTTGGTTTAACTCCTGGGTTGATACTTCAAAATTGCTTATTGTAAGTATCTTTGTTGCTTGTAATTAGAACCCTTATGGAATGATTGCTTCTCAGAGGTGTCTTCCAGATATAGCTGGTCTTTAGGTTTTGAGTCTCTAATGACTCTCTAATAAATGGCTATCTCATTTTCATGATACCAGGAAGGACCACTGACTAGATCAATAACGACACCTTAGCCCAAGTGATACAATCAGGAACACCATAACATCAAGTACATTTTAGAAAATTACAATTTGTTGTAGTTATTAATCTATCACCTTTAACTGTGTGAATTAAATCAAAATCGAGGACCAACCCAACATATGTTTATAATGAATAAACTCTTCAATATAACAACTTTACCCTTCAGGATGGGGAGTTAGAAGGAGTTGGGTAGGGAGGAATAAACAGGTAGAAGGATAGAGGAAGGTTAGCAGTCAGGCCAGAGGACACAGGCAAGAAAAGGCAAAAGAGAATAATAGAAAAATAAAGAAGAAAGCCAAATGAGGGCTGGAACAGGAACAAAAAGGGAGATGAACAATGTGGGACAGCAAGAGAGTGAGTGTAAGAGAGAGAGAAAGGAAAGAGAAAAGAAAGACAAAAAAAGGAGAGAAAAACAAAAATTTGCAAAGAGTAGGAAAAAAATTAAAGAGAAGAGAAGAAAAAAAACCCAATAATACTAATTTTGTAAATAAAAAATAAAAATGAAGGGCCTCCTTCAGGGTATGTCTCTGCTGTCACAATAGACAACGTGGGCAGCAGTGTGGAGTTATAAGTCAATGAGTCTCAGCAAGCCAGTCACAGACCCGTAAGATTCAGGCAGGTTTCTGGCTGCAAGTCCCAAGTTGACTCCCTGTCCTCCTGTAGGGTTGAACTCTGCAGGGTTGTACTGCAGGTTCCAGCTGCCCTTCCCCTGAAGATAGTCCAGGTTCCAATGGGAGGTGATGATCCCTCCAACTTACCCAGTACGGTGGTCTGGTGGTCTGGTGTCCCCTGTGTCTTTGTAGTGTGGAACCAGGTGGTAGTACAGCCAAGAGGCCAGAGAAGCAGGGGGTGGGGTGGGGTGGGGTCCTGCAGGTGCCCGCGCAGCTAAGTGGATCACTGCTGGGGGCACCGACTGGATGGAACGGGTTCCCTGTCCACACAGTTTTAAAAGTCACCCTGCAAGCTAAACCTTTGCCCCATCCCTTGAACAAAAGCTCCCTGTCTCCTCTTCCTCCCAGCCCCTGACCCCACCCTTCTACCCTCTGCTTCTGTGATTACCACGTTTTAGATTCTGCAGGCAATGAGATCTGTCCCCTGTGTGCTTTTAAGGTACAGATGTGGTAAGATAAACACAGGAGGAAATAAGACAGCATGGCACTCAGTCTTGCTCCAGGACCTTCAAGGCTCTGGAGGCTGGGCCCCCAGAGGAAAGGAAATGGGACAAGGCTACGTGTTGAGCCAGTGGTTCACAGACAACTCTATTGTTCTGCTGAACAGGCAGTCTGAGAAGTGACAACACAGGCCAAGAGACAGCTTTGACTTTGGGGCCAATCTGAGCTTTTTTAGAAACTGTGTGACTGGGGAAATTCCTAATCTCTTTGACACCTCCACTTTCCCATTTGTAAAGTGGGCCTTCTGAGCAACTAGTCCCCAGGATAATTTGGAGAATAACATAAAGTTACCTGGCAGAGTCCTGGGACAGATCTGTGTCTTGCAAGCACATGGTAAGCTCAGAAGGCACTAATTTTACTGTCAGATTAATTCTTCAGTCAGAT